GATAACAATACATTATATGTTTGTATAGCCTTCAGCACTGATAACAATACATTATATGTTTGTATAGCCTTCAGCACTGATAACAATACATTATATGTTTGTATAGCCTTCAGCACTGATAACAATACATTATATGTTTGTATAGCCTTCAGCACTGATAACAATACATTATATGTTTGTATAGCCTTCAGCACTGATAACAATACATTATATGTTTGTATAGCCTTCAGCACTGATAACAATACATTATATGTTTGTATAGCCTTCAGCACTGATAACAATACATTATATGTTTGTATAGCCTTCAGCACTGATAACAATACATTATATGTTTGTATAGCCTTCAGCACTGATAACAATACATTATATGTTTGTATAGCCTTCAGCACTGATAACAATACATTATATGTTTGTATAGCCTTCAGCACTGATAACAATACATTATATGTTTGTATAGCCTTCAGCACTGATAACAATACATTATATGTTTGTATAGCCTTCAGCACTGATAACAATACATTATATGTTTGTATAGCCTTCAGCACTGATAACAATACATTATATGTTTGTATAGCCTTCAGCACTGATAACAATACATTATATGTTTGTATAGCCTTCAGCACTGATAACAATACATTATATGTTTGTATAGCCTTCAGCACTGATAACAATACATTATATGTTTGTATAGCCTTCAGCACTGATAACAATACATTATATGTTTTCAGCATTACTGAAACATCAAGTGGGGAGGAGCAGCTGTGTCACATCTGTCAAGACGATTTACAGGAATGTGTAAATCATGTCTGTCGAAGTCAGAACTCCCTGAATGTGACTGCAACATTTATACCCTGGTGTTACTGTGGTCCAGTTGTAGGCAAGTGTTTAACAATCATCATGTCTGTCATACCTGTGTGTCAGTTTTACACCTGTAATCTCTGTCATACCTGTGTGTCAGTATTACACCTGTAATCTCTGTCATACCTGTGTGTCAGTATTACACCTGTAATCTCTGTCATACCTGTGTGTCAGTATTACACCTGTAATCTCTGTCATACCTGTGTGTCAGTATTACATTTGTAATCTCTGTCATACCTGTGTGTCAATATTACACCTGTAATCTCTGTCATACCTGTGTGTGAGTATTACACTTGTAATCTCTGTCATACCTGTGTGTCAGTATTACACCTGTAATCTCTGTCATACCTGTGTGTCAGTATTACACTTGTAATCTCTGTCATACCTGTGTGTCAGTATTACACCTATAATCTCTGTCATACCTGTGTGTCAATATTACACCTGTAATTTCTGTCATACCTGTGTGTCAGTATTACACCTATAATCTCTGTCATAACTGTGTGTCAGTATTGCACTTGTAATCTCTGTCATACCTGTGTGTCAGTTTTACACCTGTAATCTCTGTCATACCTGTGTGTGAGTATTACACTTGTAATCTCTGTCATACCTGTGTGTCAGTATTACACCTGTAATCTCTGTCATACCTGTGTGTCAGTTTTACACCTGGAAACTCTGTCATACCTGTGTGTCAGTTTTACACATGTAATCTCTGTCATACCTGTGTGTCAGTTTTACACCTGTACTTTTCCATTAGTTCTCACATACAGCTTGGTTTGGTTTTGTGTTTGCTTCTTTACTCTCATACTAGAATTCATACCTGTGTGTCAGTTTTACACCTGTAAACTCTGACATACCTGTGTGTCAGTATTACACCTGAAATCTCTGTCATACCTGTGTGTCAGTTCTACACCTGTACTTTTCCATTAGTTCTCACATACAGCTTGGTTTGGTTTTGTGTTTGCTTCTTTACTCTCATACTAGAATTCATACCTGTGTGTCAGTTTTACACCTGTAATTTCTGTCATACCGGTGTGTCAGTATTACACCTGTAATCTCAGTCATACCTGTGTGTCAGTTTTACACCTGTACTTTTCCATTAGTTCTCACATACAGCTTGGTTTGGTTTTGTGTTTGCTTCTTTACTCTCATACTAGAATTCATACCTGTGTGTCAGTTTTACACCTATAATCTCTGTCATACCTGTGTGTCAGTATTACACCTTTAATCTCTGTCATACCTGTGTGTCAGTTTTACCCCTGTAATCTCTGTCATACCTGTGTGTCAGTATTACACCTGTAATCTCTGTCATACCTGTGTGTCAGTTTTACACCTGTACTTTTCCATTAGTTCTCACATACAGCTTGGTTTGGTTTTGTGTTTGCTTCTTTACTCTCATACTAGAATTTTGTATGTGGTTATATTTTTATATTACTATACACCAATATGTCAAAAGTGGGTCATTGATATGTCTTAGAACTATAGGAGGTTTTATTAGTTCACCTAAGCTTTAGCTCAAGTGACCTATTGCTATCCGTCTTCGTCCGTCGTCGTGCGTCGTCTGTTAACATTTTACATTTTCAACTTAAGCTGAAATAATGTCAAAGGGATTTCATTGATACTTCATGGGAATGTTACTGACAACTCCCTGACCAAGTGTTGTTATTTTTCGAGTCGATCAGAAATCCAATATGGCCACCATTTTGAAAAACTATTTCAAACTTAAAGTCAAGTTCTATTGGGCTAATTTAACTGAAACTTGGTAGGAATGATCAACTCTTGGTCCTGATAAAGTGTTGTTATTTTTCAGGTCGATCAGAAATCCAATATGGCCACCACGGCAGCCATTTTGAAAAACTATTTCAAACTTAAAGTCAAGTTCAACTTGGCCTATTTAACTGAAACTTGGTAGGAATGATCAACTCTTGGTCCTGATAAAGTGTTGTTATTTTTCAGGTCGATCAGAAATCCAATATGGCCACCACGGCAGCCATTTTGAAAAACTATTTCAAACTTAAAGTCAAGTTCAACTTGGCCTATTTAACTGAAACTTGGTAGGAATGATCAACTCTTGGTCCTGATAAAGTGTTGTTATTTTTCAGGTCGATCAGAAATCCAATATGGCCACCACGGCAGCCATTTTGAAAAACTATTTCAAACTTAAAGTCAAGTTCAACTTGGCCTATTTAACTGAAACTTGGTAGGAATGATTGACTCCTGTACCTGACTAAGTGTTGTTATTTTTTGGGTTGATCAGAAATCTAATATGGCTGCCACGGCCGCTATTTAAAAAACTATTTCAAACTTAAAGTCAAGTTCTTCTGGGCAGATTTAACTGAAACTTCATAGGAATGATCGACTCATGGTCCTGACAAAGTGTTGTTATTTTTTCAGGTCGATCAGAAATCTAATATAGGCCGGCCATTTTGAAAAACTATTTCAAACTAAAGTCAAGTTCTACTGGGCCGTTTTAACTGAAACTTGGTAGGAATGATCGACTCATGGTCCTGACAAAATGTTTTTTTACCAGGTCCATCAAAGATCCAATACGGCTGCCATGGCTGCCATTTTGGAAAATAACTATTTAAAACTTTAAATAGAGTTCTAATAGGCCGAATTAACTGAAACTTGGTCTAGAAATGATCAACTCATTGTCCTGACAAACTTAACTTAACTATTTTTAGTTAGGCATATAGTGTTGCCCTTGTCCGTCCCGTCCTGTCCCGTCCGGATTCAATGTAAACACCCCTCCTGTCGCATCCCGTCCCGTCCGGATTCAATGTAACCACTTAGCAACTTCATTCTTTGACAGATTTTGGTCAAACTCTATACAAAGGTCAAGTATGAGTATACTTCGGACGTTGTGTTTCAGGGTTCCAAGGCCAAGGTCACCGTTGCTATATATAGAAAATCATCAACTGATTCATTTTAAACGCTTCGCAACGTCATTCTTTCACGGATTTTGGTCAAACTTTATACGAAGGTCAAATATGGGTATACCTCTGACATTCTTGTGTTTCAGGGCTCCAAGATTAAGACCAAGGTCACTGTTGCTATATATAGGAAATCATCAACTGATTCAATTTAAACACTTAGCAACTTCATTTTTTCACGGATTTTGGTCAAACTTTATATAAAGGTCAAATATGGGTACACCACTGACAACATCCTTGTGTTTCAGGATGATAATAACATACAGAAAAAACAAATGAATATTAAAATCAACTTATCAACTTTAAGTGTATGACCTTGTGTGCGTGCATGTTTCAGGGTATCAAGATCAAAGTGGTTGTAACTTTTTAGGTTACCTGACCATAGGTCATGGTGACCTATTGTGATAGTCTTTTGTTCGTCGTCGTACGTCGTGCGTTAACTTTTCCTTGTAAACACGATAACTTGAATAAATGTTAACCAAGTTTGATGAAACTTTGTAGGCAGCCATATATCAATAAGATCTCGGACGAGTTCGAAAATGGGAATTATTCGACAGTAACTTATAGAGTTATTGCCCTTTGTTATATTATTATTATTGGACCTTGTGAACACGATAACTGGAGTAAATTTTTAAGGGGCTGGTTGGGGAAAAAATTACAAAATAAATAGGTCTAAATCCGTTCTCTGGCCTTCCAAAAGTTATACCACGGCAATATGATGGTCGAGTTCTGCTTGTAATGTCCAGTTTTGACCACTGTAATCTCGGGGAAGCCCAGGTAAATTTAGCGCAGATCTATTTATATATGTCACGTGGTTGTTTCAAAAGTGAGGCAGTGAAGATAACAACAATAGCATGCTGTCATGTGCCATGTCGGACTCAACTAGCGGACAAGACAGCAATACTATACGTAAATAATTGTTTTCAAAGGTCATGTATGATGCAAGTGTAGTATTCCTACCTATATGTTGTTGTTATATATAACGGTATTGATACCTTGTGCCTGCCATGACTTTTGCATGCATCTTTTTCTTTCGCCGCGATGTTAACATTTGGACTGTTGATGACGCGCGTGCGGTAAAATTACATCTGTGATCTGCAATTGCCTTTAGTCCGTCGTCGTCCGTCGTCGTCCTTCGTCCGTCGTGCGTCCGTAAACAATTTACATTTTCGACTTCTTCTCCAAACCCCTGAACTAATTTCAATGAAATTTTGCAAGAACCTTCCATGGACAAAGGTCAACAAAAATGGTGGCCGGTTTAGTCCCAAGCTCCCAGGGCCCTGAGGGACGGGGCCAAAATGGGTCAAATTGACTAAAATTTCAAAAACCTTCTTCTCCAAAACCCCTGAACCAATTTCAATGAAATTTTGCATGGACCTTCCATGGAGAATGGTCAACAAAAAGAGTGGCCGGTTTAGTCCCAATTCCCCAGGGGCCTGAGGGGCGGGGCCAAAAAGGGTCAAATTGACTAAAATTTCAAAAATCTTCTTCTCAAGACCCAGATATGGTAGAATCAAATACTCTTCATATATGGAAGGGTCTTAAGGTGCTTTACCAAAATTGTGAATTTCTTGATCCTGGGGTCTCACGTTTCCCCCTGGGGAGGGGGTAAACTTTACTATAGTTTATATAGGGAAATCACATTTTGGACCAACATTTGTTTAATTTCCATTGGAAGTAATTCAATTTGGGTTAGCATTATCAGTATTAGGTAGCAGTTTGATAGTATGCACCTATGAGCCCTGACTGACCCCCAGGGGCTGATGGGTGGGGCCAAAAAGGGTTGAATTGACTGAAATTTCAAAAATCTTCTTCTCAAGACCCAGATATGGTAGAATCAAATACTCTTCATAGATGGAAGGGTCTTAAGGTGCTTTACCGAAATTGTGAATTTCTTGACCCTGGGGTCTCACGTTTCCCCCTGGGGAGGGGGTAAACTTTACTATAGTTTATATAGGGAAATCACATTTTGGACCAACATTTGTTTAATTTCCATTGGAAGTAATTCAATTTGGGTTAGCATTATCAGTATTAGGTAGCAGTTTGATAATAAGCACATATCAGCCCTGACTGACCCCCAGGGGCTGATGGGTGGGGCCAAAAAGGGTCGAATTTACTGAAATTTCAAAAATCTTCTTCTCAAGACCCAGATATGGTAGAATCAAATACTCTTCATAGATGGAAGGGTCTTAAGGTTTATGACCCTAGGGTCTCACGTTTACCCCCTGGGGAAGGGGGGGGGGGGGCAAAATTTATTATGGTTTATAATGGCAAATGATACTTTGAATATTACATGTTAATAACTTGATTGGAATTATAACCTTGAATTGACAGTTTGATACTTTGAAAATTTTGAGCCAGCCCTACCCCCAAGGGCTGTAGGGTGGGGCTCAAAGGAGTCAGTGTGCTAAAATTTCTTCATTTTCCTTGTTTAGAATCAGAGGTGCTAGTTTCAAATCCTTTTTAGTCTGAAATCTGTATGCTAGATATTGAATAAGGTGGTTTTATTGTTTTTTGTCACTTTGAATAATATTTCTGTTCATGTTAAAAACAAAATCAACTCTCTGTATAAATATATCAGGTGACCGTTAAGGCCCATGGGCCTCTTGTAGCAAATATGACATTTTTCCCCTGACCAGCCCCTTTAACCAAGTTTGATAACTTTGTGTACAGAGTTATTGCCCTTTGTAATATTATTATTATTGGACCTTGTGAACACGATAACTTGAGTAATTGTTAACCGAGTTTGATGAAACTTTGTAGGCAGCCATATATCAATAAGATCCCAGATGATTTGAAAATGGGAATTATTCGACAGTTACTTACAGAGTTATTGAACATTGTAATAATGTTATTATTGGACCTTGTGAACACGAGAACTTGAGTAAATGTTAAGGCCCATGGGCCTCTTGTTATTTACATCACATATATACATCTCATTTGGAGCCAGTCCCCTGTGCCCAAAGCAATAACATATTTCAATATCAACCTGTTTGAATCCTTTGATATTGGGCATCAGAAAAGCAATTTTTCATTGGCAAAGTTAGGTTATTTAAATAATTTGTTGTAAAAGTTGAAATGCCCTTATATATGATATTTCCTGTATTCGAAGGTTGTGATCTACTACCAAGTTATGCATATGGAGCATACAGATGTTGGCCCTTTGGACAATGGATTGGAACTGTTTATCAAACATGTATACCGCATTGTGAGACTGGCTTCCGTCTAATCCAGGGCAATGGGCTGAGATGTGGGGAAGACATGAGGTGGAATGAGACAGTGGTGCCACCTATATGTACCAATGAAAGTACTACTACAGGTAATGTAATGATTATCATTGTATTTGTCAGAACTCCAGTGTTTATAATATAAAGGATAAAATAGTAAATTAGTCCTTTATTCCACTTATCTAGCTACCACAATTCCCTTTATCCCACTACCCAGCTACAACTAATCCCTTTATCCCACTACCCAGCAACAACTAATCCCTCTATCCCACTACCCAGCTACAACTTATCCCTCCAGATCCCCCTACCCAGCTACAAGAAATCGCTTTATCCCACTACTCAGCTACACCTAATCAATTTATGCACTCCCCAGCTACACCTTCCCCCTCCATATCCCACTCCCCAGCAACAACTTATCCCTCCATACCCCACTACCCAGCTCCAATTTACCCCTCCATATCCCACCACCCAGCTACAACTTCTCCCCCCAGCAACAACTAATCAATTTCTTGCACTACCCAGCTACAACTTATCCCTCCATATCCCACTACCCAGCTACAACTTATCCCTCAATATCCCACTACCCAGCTACAAGTAATAGCTTTATCCCACTACTCAGCTACAACTAATCAATTTATTGCACTACCCAGCTACAACTTATCCCTCCATATCCCCCTACCCAGCTACAACTTATCCCTCCATATCCCCCTACCCAGGTACAACTTATCCCTTCATATCCCCCTACCCAGCTACAACTTATCCCTTCATATCCCACTACCCAGCTACAACTAATCCCTCCATATCCCACTACCAAGCTACAACTTATCCCTCCATATCCCCCTTCCCAGCTACAACTAATCCCTCAATATCCCACTACCCAGCTACAACTTATCCCTTCATATCCCACTACCCAGCTACAACTTATCCCTTCATATCCCCCTACCCAGCTACAACTTATCCCTCCATATCCCACTACCCAGCTACAACTTATCCCTCCATATCCCACTACCCAGCTACAACTTATCCCTTCATATCCCACTACCCAGCTACAAGTAATTCTGTAATCCCCCTATTCAGCTACAACTAATCCCTTTATCTCACAACCCAGCTTCCACTTATCAGTTTATTTCACTTACCAGCTACATGTATCACTAATCCCTCTATACAACTTCCCAGCAACCAATAATCCCTTTATCTCACTACCAAGCTACCACTTATCCCTCTATCCCACTACCCATATACACCTAATCCCTTTATCCCACTACCCAGCTACAACTAATTCCTCTATCCCACTACCAAACTACAACTAATCCCTCTATCCCACTACCCAGCTACAACTTATCCCTCCATATCCCACTACCCAGCTACAACTTATCCCTTCATATCCCACTACCCAGCTATAACTTATCCCTCCATATCCCCCTACCCAGCTACAACTTATCCCTCCATATCCCACTACCCAGCTACAAGTAATCGCTTTATCCCACTACACAGCTTCAATTAATCAATTAATTGCACTACCCAGCTACAACTTATCCCTCCATATCCCACTACCCAGCTACAAGTAGTCGCTTTATCCCACTACTCATCTACAACTTATCCCTCCATATCCCCCTACCCAGCTACAACTTATGCCTCCATATCCCACTACCCAGCTACAAGTAATCGCTTTATCCCACTACCCAGCTACAACATATCCCTCCATATCCCACTTACCAGCTACAACTTATCCCTCCATATCGCACTACCCAGCTACAAGTAGTCGCTTTATCCCTCTTCTCAGCTACAACTTATCCCTCCATATCCCACTCCCCAGCTACAACTTATCCCTCCATATCCCACTGCCCAGCTACAAGTAGTCGCTTTATTCCACTACTCAGCTACAACTTATCCCTCCATATCCCACTCCCCAGCTATAACTTATCCCTCCATATCCCACTACCAAGCTACAACTTATCCCTCCATATCCCACTTCCCAGCTACAACTTATCCCTCCATATCCCACTACCCAGCTATAACTTATCCCTCCATATCCCACTACCAAGCTACAAGTAATTATGTAATCCCCCTATTCAGCTACAACTAATCCCTTTATCTCACAACCCAGCTTCCACTTATCTGTTTATTTCACTTACCAGCTACATGTATCACTAATCCCTCTATACAACTTCCCAGCTACCAATAATCCCTTGATCTCACTACCAAGCTACCACAAATCCCTCTATCCCACTACTCATATACACCTAATCCCTTTATCCCACTACCCAGCTGCAACTTATTCCTCTATCCCACTACCCAACTACAACTAATCCATCTATCCCACTACCCTGCTACAACTAATCCCTCCATATCCCACTACCCAGCTACAACTTATCCCTCAATATCCCACTACCCAGGCACAAGTAATTGCTTTATCCCACTACTCAGCTACAACTAATCAATTTATTGCACTACCCAGCTACAACTTATCCCTCCATATCCCACTACCCCGCTACAACTTATCCCTCAATATCCCACTACCCAGGCACAAGTAATTGCTTTATCCCACTACTCAGCTACAACTAATCAATTTATTGCACTACCCAGCTACAACTTATCCCTCCATATCCCACTATCCAGCTACAACTTATCCCTTCATATCCCCCTATCCAGCTACAACTTATCCCTCCATATCCCACTACCCAGCTATAACTTATCCCTCCATATCCCCCTACCCAGCTACAACTTATCCCTCCATATCCCACTACCCAGCTACAAGTAATTGCTTTATCCCACTTCTCAGCTACAACTAATCAATTTATGCACTACCCAGCTACAACTTATGCCGCCATATCCCACTACCACTAATCAATTTATGCCCTACCCAGCTACAAGTAGTCGCTTTATTCCCCTACTCAGCTACAACTAATAAATTTATGCACTACCAAGCTACAACTAATTCCTCTATCCCACTACCCAGCAACAACTAATCCCTCTATCCCACTACCCATCTACAAGTAATTCTGTAATCCCCCTATTCAGCTACAACTAATCCCTTTATCTCACAACCCATCTTCCACTTATCCGTTTATTTCACTTACCAACTACATGTATCATTAATTCCTCTATACAACTTCCCAGCTACCAATAATCCCTTTATTTCACTACCAAGCTACCACTAATCCCTCTATCCCACTACCCATATACACCTAATCCCTTTATCCCACTACCAAGCTACAACTAATTCCTCTATCCCACTACCCAGCTACAACTAATCCCTCTATCCCACTACCCAGATACAACTAATCCCTCTATCCCACTACCCAGCTACAACTAATCCCTCTATCCCACTACCCAGCTACAACTAATCCCTCTATCCCACTCCCCAGCTACAACTTATCCCTCCATATCCCACTACCCAGCTACAAGTAATTCTGTAATCCCCCTATTCAGCTACAACTAATCCCTTTATCTCACAACCCAGCTTCCACTTATCCATTTATTTCACTTACCAGCTACATGTATCACTAATCCCTTTATACAACTTCCCAGCTACCAATAATCCCTTTATCTCACTACCAAGCTACCACTAATCCCTCTATCCCACTACCCATATACACCTAATCCCTTTATCCCACTACCCAGCTACAACTAATTCCTCTATCCCACTACCCAACTACAACTAATCCCTCTATCCCACTAACCAGCTACAACTAATCCCTCTATCCCACTACCCAGCTATAACTAATCCCTGTACTCCACTACCCAGCTATAACTAATCCCTGTACTCAACTACCCAGCTACACCTTATAATCCCTCCATATCCCACTACCCAGCTACAACTAATCCCTTTATCCCATTATCCAGCTACACCTTATAATCCCTTTATCCCGTTTGGTCAAATGAATGACCTTGACTGACTTTCAAAGTCACAGATGATCCAATGTGTTAAAAAAAAAATTGAAATAAGATTTGTTCAAATAAATTTGATTGCACATTTTTTGAAGGTCATAGCATTGATTACCAAGTGAGGGATACAGGCCCATTGAGCCTCTAGTTAAAGTATAGATTTGCTCAGTGCATTAGTTCAATAAAGACATTGAAAATATTATTAGCACAAAAATGAACTGAATATGGATACAGGTAATTTGTATTTTACTGAGAAATATGTAAGAATCAAAATACAAGTCTGAGATAACAGGTTGTTGTCTAAAATATCAAACTAAGTATTTGAATATCCTGTTGTCCCCTTTGAAATCAGCTCTGAAGAGTACACCAACCCCTTTTGAAGAATCAGCGAATGTCAGTTTTCCGCCATCAGATAATGAAACAGAAGATCAGGTTGAAGAGTCATTTGAGCTCAGTCCAGGTAAGTAGTTATTCCATGTCGCCCCCATCCAAAAACCAACCCTAACCTTTTAAGAAAAATGCTGTTGTATAAAACAAAGAAAACAGTAATCTATGATTGCTTACATTCAACATTTATGCATTGTTCAGTGAACGCTTGTTCACGTAAATATTTGTGATTCTGTTGATCAGGGTATAATTGTGTTTACATGTGCCTAGTTCTTTGTAAGAATTTTAAAATGAATACTGGTAGTCAGTATTAAGTTTACATGTCACATAGAGGATATTATGTGAGTGTCCATGTCATATTTAGGCGAGTGCCATATCAAGTTATAGAACAAGCCTAATAAAGTCAATATGACAGGGACACAAATGCAAGATTCTATTCATTACAAACATTCATAATTTGAAAAAAAAAATCAAACAAAATTATGTGCTATCAGCTGACTTTTTATTGGTCCAAACCAAAGTATTCCTAGTATTGTCGTTCCGCGAAGTGTGAAGTAGTGCCAGATTTATTTTATAATGAACAGTTTTAAATGCACTCAAAATCATAATGACAAAATAGTATTTCAAATTCATTTAAAATAACAGTAAATAGATACGTAATATAGTAAATAAAAGTAGTACCTGTAGTGGCGTAGGAATATGTTCCCACAGTTTAGACCAATCAAAGCATCTTAACCTTTTCACCACTGTAGACCACAATCATCAATCCAGATGAATGTATGGGAGAGTCTACTCAAGTTACCGAGGGGTGAAACGGTTAAGGTTTTATTGCATGTGTGTGTGTAATACCATATCTATGACATGGCCATATGACATAGTTAAATGGGTCAGTAATGTGAAAGACAATACTTCATTTGTTCGGGCGATATCTTAGTGTATGCATACATTTTGGGGGGTTTAATATCTCAAAAACTATCTCAAGTCATTTAAACAGGTGCCTAAAGAAACACCACTGAAAATCTTAGGAAAAGAGAAAAGAAAAGATGGGGTCTCATAGTGTTGCTATGAGTGCAGCAGGTGGGTCCCTTAATTTAGTGTTACTATGGGGTCTCATAGTGTTGCTATAAGTGCAGCAGGTGGGTCCCTTAATTTAGTGTTGCTATGGTGTTCCATAGTGTTGCTATAAGTGCAGCAGGTGGGTCCCTTAATTTAGTGTTGCTATGGTGTTCCATAGTGTTGCTATAAGTGCAGCAGGTGGGTCCCTTAATTTAGTGTTGCTATGGTGTTCCATAGTGTTGCTATAAGTGCAGCAGGTGGGTCCCTTAATTTAGTGTTGCTATGGTGTTCCATAGTGTTGCTATAAGTGCAGCAGGTGGGTCCCTTAATTTAGTGTTGCTATGGTGTTCCATAGTGTTGCTATAAGTGCAGCAGGTGGGTCCCTTAATTTAGTGTTGCTATGGTGTTCCATAGTGTTGCTATGAGTGCAGCAGGTGGGTCCCTTAATTTAGTGTTGCTATGGTGTTCCATAGTGTTGCTATAAGTGCAGCAGGTGGGTCGCTTAATTTAGTGTTGCTATGGTGTTCCATAGTGTTGCTATGGTGTTCCATAGTGTTGCTATAAGTGCAGCAGGTGGGTCCCTTAATTTAGTGTTGCTATGGTGTTCCATAGTGTTGCTATGAGTGCAGCAGGTGGGTCGCTTAATTTAGTGTTGCTATGGTGTTCCATAGTGTTGCTATAAGTGCAGCAGGTGGGTCGCTTAATTTAGTGTTGCTATGGGGTCTCATAGTGTTGCTATGAGTGCAGCAGGTGGGTCCCTTAATTAAGTGTTGCTATGGGGTTCCATAGTGTTGGTATAAGTGCAGCAGGTCAATTTGATTTCTTCAAGGTCACCTAAGCTAAAGCCAAGCAAACATCACCCTGATACTACAAGAGGTCGCACACAAGTTGTCTGCTACATTAACAGGCAGTGGCATACAGCAGATCTTCTATTGAACCTGCACAGAAATACACAAATATCTTCACTATTGATAATGTAATTGTTCAACCTTTTAAAATCTTAACTTTAGAATTAAGCACAGGGTTAAAATTAACAATCTGCCAGCATGAATTATGATATTATACCTGAAACAATTATGTTCAGAATGATAAGACCTGCAAATATTAACAAGATTCAATCTGACATTAAAAAAAGGGTTAATATCAACAAGGGTCTACTGTGCACACAAACCAAAGTGTTTATACTGACAAGGTTCTACTGTACACACATGCCAAAGTGTTTATACTGACAAGGTTCTACTGTACACACAAACCAAAATGTTTATACTAACAACGTTCTACTGTACACACGAACCAAAGTGTTTATACTGAAAAGGTTCTACTGTACATACAAACCAAAGTGTTTACACAGACAAGGTTCTACTATACACACAAACCAAAGCGTTTATACTGACAAGTTTCTACTGTACACACATGCCAAAGTGTTTATACTGACAAGGTTCTACTGTACACACAAACCCAAGTGTTTATACTAACAAGGTTCTACTGCACACACAAACCAAACTGTTTATACTGACAAGGTTCTACTGTACATACAAACCAAAGTGTTTATACAGACAAGGTTCTACTATACACACAAACCAAAATGTTTATACTAACAAGGTTCTACTGTACACACAAACCAAAGTGTTTATGCTAACAATGTTCTACTGTACACACAAACCAAAATGTTTATACTAACAAGGTTCTACTGTACACACAAACCAAAGTGTTTATGCTAACAATGTTCTACTGTACACACAAACCAAAGTGTTTATTCTAACAAGGTTCTACTGTACACACAAACCAAAGTGTTTATACTAACAAGGTTCTACTGTACATACAAACCAAAGTGTTTATACTAACAAGGTTCTACTGTACATACAAACCAAAGTGTTTATACTGACAAGGTTCTACTGTACACACAAACCAAAGTGTTTATTCTAACAAGGTTCTACTGTACACACAAACCAAAGTGTTTATATTAACAAGGTTCTACTGTACACACAAACCAACGTGTTTATACTGTCAAGGTTCTACTGTACACACAAACCAAACTGTTTATACTGACAAGGTTCTACAGTACACACAAAGCAAAGTGTTTATACTAACAAGGTTCAAATGTACATACAAACCAAAGTGTTTATTCTAACAATGTTCTACTGTACACACAAACCAAAGTGTTTATATTAACAAGGTTCTACTGTACACACAAACCAAAGTGTTTATATTAACAAGGTTCTACTGTACACACACACCAAAGTGTTTATACTGACAGGTTTATACAGTACACACAAACCAAAGTGTTTATACTGACAAGGTTCTACTGTACATACAAACCAAAGTGTTTATACTGACAAGGTTCTACTGTACACACAAACCAAAGTGTTTATATTAACAAGGTTCTACTGTACACACAAACCAACGTGTTTATACTGTCAAGGTTCTACTGTACACACAAACCAAACTGTTTATACTGACAAGGTTCTACAGTACACACAAACCAAAATGTTTATACTAACAAGGTTCTACTGTACATACAAACCAAAGTGCTTATACTGACAAGGTTCTACTGTACACACAAACCAAGGTGTTTATACTAACAAGGTTTAGATGTACATATAAACTTAAGTATTTATACTAACAAGGTTCCGATGTACATACAAACCAAAGTGTTTATACTAACAAGGTACTACTGTACACACAAACCAAAGTGTTTATACTGACAATGTTCTACTGTACACACAAACCAAAGTGTTTATTCTAACAAGGTTCCACTGTACACACAAACCAAAGTGTTTATACTAACAAGGTTCTACTATACACACAAACCAAAATGTTTATACTAACAAGGTTCTACTGTACATACAAACAAAAGTGTTTATACTGACAAGGTTCTACTGTACATACAAACCAAATGGTTTATGCTAACAAGGTTCTACTGTACACACAAACCAAAGTGCTTATACTGACAAGGTTCTACTGTACACACAAACCAAGGTGTTTATACTAACAAGGTTTAGATGTACATATAAACTTAAGTATTTATACTAACAAGGTTCCGATGTACATACAAACCAAAGTGTTTATACTAACAAGGTACTACTGTACACACAAACCAAAGTGTTTATACTGACAAGGCTCTACTGTACACACAAACCAAAGTGTTTATACTGACAATGTTCTACTGTATACACAAACCAAAGTGTTTATACTGACAAGGTTCGACTGTACACACAAACCAAAGTGTTTATACTGACAAGGCTCTACTGTACACACAAACCAAACAGTTTATACTGACAAGGTTCTACTGTACACACAAACCAAACAGTTTATACTGACAAGGTTCGACTGTACACACAAACCAAAGTGTTTATACTGACAAGGCTCTACTGTACACACAAACCAAAGTGTTTATATTAACAAGGTTCTACTGTACACACAAACCAAAGTGCTTATACTAACAAGGTTCTACTGTACATACAAACCAAAGTGTTTATACTGACAAGGTTCTACTGTACATATATGCCAAAGTGTTTATACTGACAAGGTTCTACTGTACATACAAACCAAAGTGTTTATACTGACAAGGTTCTACAGTACACACAAACCAAAGTGTTGATACTTACATGGTTCTACTGTACACACAAACCAAGGTGTTTATACTAACAAGGTTCTACTGTACACAAAAACCAAAATGTTTATACTGACAAGGTTCCAATGTACATACAAACCTAAGTGTTTAGACTAACAAGCTTCCGATGTACATACAAACCAAATGGTTTATACTAACATGGTTCTACTGTACACACAAACCAAGGTGTTTATACTAACAAGGTTCTACTGTACACACAAACCAAAATGTTTATACTGACAAGGTTCCAATGTACATACAAACCTAAGTGTTTAGACTAACAAGGTTCCGATGTACATACAAACCTAAGTGTTTATACTGACAAGGTTCCAATGTACATACAAACCAATATTAGAATACTTTTCCTATTTTCAGTTGTGATTGGACCATTAGCTGGAGTTGTCTTTCTGGGTGTCATGTTTGTTGTTGTTTGGTGGTGCTGCAAGTACAACAAAAGATGTCATAAGTGGCCTCAGAGAAAGTCGCCAGTAACAGGTAAATACTTAATGCACTTTTCACTGCAGGAGGAAAGAAGACTGTGACTTGTTTCGGTACAAAGAACTGGTAGCATCAGACACGATAATTGGCCAGACATCGCCTTTCTTCTTCATATGATGTTTCCAATGCTGTTATTTCATCCACTTGTTCCATAAGCTTAGTTGTCTCATAACAGCTGCTTGTATTGAAAATTTAAGCTTATATATAACCCCAAACACAAATATGCCTGTCAAACATTTGTTTTCGCTTCACAAAGATTTTATTGAATGTTATATACATATTCGAAAGGAATGTCAAACATACACATATGAGTTCTGTCAAACTATAAGAGAACATTTCTACTTTTCAGTGATGTTTTAGATAGCTTTCCAGCAATCATGAGTTGACAGTGAACTTATAACAGAGATTTTATGGACATATGGAGCTTAGGTTGGGGGCCAAAAAGAAGAAATCTTTGCCTAATATTTAAATGGAATGATTTCCCCTCAGGAACTGTGTAATCAACAGTTCCCCGGACAGATTATAGGTTTACACTCCATCCGTTCGTCGTCTGACCAAATTCGGTCCCTGCAAAGAGTTTGTCTTGGGCATATCTTCTGTAGTACTTCACCCAGAGTAACCAGATTTGGTATACATGTACATCTCTGGATGGCAAAGTGCAGACTATAAAAAGAATGTCTCTGTGACCAATGGTTTGACCGTTTACTTCAGCCTTAATTTTTTTTGTTTAGGACCTATCTTCTATACTGTTACACCTGGAGTAACCAGATTTGTTATGCAAGTACATCATGGGATGTTTGAGTGCAAAGAAGAGAAGTAGGTCACTTTGACATGTGCTTTGATCTTTGGCCTTATCCTTAGTCCAGGGCACTGATCTTTGGCCTTATACTTAGTCCAGGGCACTGATCTTCGGCCTTATCCTTAGTCCAGGGCACTGATCTTTGGCCTTATACTTAGTCCAGGGCACTGCTCTTTGGCCTTATACTTAGTCCAGGGCACTGATCTTCGGCCTTATCCTTAGTCCAGGGCACTGATCTTTGGCCTTATCCTTTGTCCAGGGCACTAATCTTTGGCCTTATCCTTAGTCCAGGGCACTGATCTTTGGGCTTATCCTTAGTCCAGGGCACTGATCTTTGGCCTTATACTTAGTCCAGGTCACTGATCTTTGGCCTTATACTTAGTCCAGGGCACTGCTCTTTGGCCTTATACTTAGTCCAGGGCACTGATCTTCGGCCTTATCCTTAGTCCAGGGCACTGATCTTTGGCCTTATCCTTAGTCCAGGGCACTAATCTTTGGCCTTATCCTTAGTCCAGGGCACAGTTTCACCAGTATAGACCAAATTTAAGATGCAGGTATATTTCATGATAGTGGAGTGAAGTTTATGAAAAGTAGGTCATTGTGATATATGCTATGACATCTGACCTCAGTCATTGTGATATATGCTATGACATCTGACCTCAGTCATTGTGATATATGCTATGACATCTGACCTCAGTCATTGTGATATATGCTATGACATCTGACCTCAGTCATTGTGATATATGCTATGACATCTGACCTCAGTCATT